GCCTATCAGTGGGCACAGCACAAGCAGCACTAAGAGGGGACTATAGAGCAATACAGGCCACACCTAGAGTCAAGACAGAGCTCAAGTAAAGAATCTAATCTTACACCTAAAATAGCTAGAAAGAACAAAAGAACCAAAAGACAGTAGAAGGAAAATATTAAAGCAGAAATGAATGACACCAAAATCAAAGACAGACCAAAAAAATCAATGAAACCAAAAGCTGATTCCTGAAAAAAAAAAAGACAAATCTTTTTGTCTGCTACACTTTCAAGAAGGTAAAAAGGGGGGAAATGCCTAATAAATAGAATAAAAATCAAAAGTGGAGAAGTTACAACCGACACTTTAGGAATACAGGAGATCATAAGACAATACTAAATATCTATATGTTGATAAATTGAATAACCTCAAATAACCTAGAAGAAACTGACAATTTCTCAGAAGTATACAAGCTTCTGAGACTGAATCAGGAAGATCCAGAACAAAGCAACTACAAGCAAAGTCACTAAGACAGTAATCAAAACTTTCCCAAACAACAAAGCCCAGGACCAGACATTTTGAGTGACTTCTACAAAATCTTTAAAGATGAACTAACACCTGACTTGTCAACTCTTCAAAAAAAAAAAAAAAGCAAACAGAGGATGAGGGAATGCTGCCATCACATCTCACGAGGCCAACATTCCCTTGATACCAAAAGCAGAGAAGGACAGATCTGGCTCCTCTCAGGGCTGCTGAGCCTCTGTGCTGCTGGAGACCATGAGGTTTATTGGAGAAAAACATCTTCCCTTCCATTCCCACACTGTGGAACCCACACCCTGGACCCACTCTGCTCAGAGTACCAGGCCCCTCCATTCCCAGTCCCTGGTCCTGGGATGCAAATTCCCACCCCTCCCCATATCACACCAGTGACTCCCCAGGACAGAGGCCCAGGATCCAAGCCCCCATGAAGGACAGGCCAGTGCCTGCTGTGGTACTGTGCCCCTCAGTGTGAGCAGGTGTCACGGAAAAGCATCATGACACAGGACATTGTCCCCAAGTGTTACAGTGCAATCCCGATACTAAATGGGTTGCCTGACTGTGGGTCCTTACCCATGCGCTCTCAGGGGACTTCAACTGCAGGCATGCAAAAAAGGTTAATCAAAGGTTTATTTCCAAGGGAAGGGGAAATGAATAACTCAGGGAAAAAAAGAGGGAGATAAATTCTTAAATGCATCCTGTTTTACTGACCTGGAATTCCAAATGACCCACTGAGACCAAGCGCTGAGAGAGAGAGAGAGAGAGAGAGAGAGAGAGAGAGAGAGAGAGAGAGCGAGCGCACGCACCCCACTCACATGGCTGGTTATATTCTCAAACAGAGAACATGGCTGCTTACCTTTTCCCTCAGGATCTTGCAACCCTCCCTTTGGTGATCATGGGATTTGTAGTTCCCAGTGTCTTGAAGGAGTAGGGGTGGAGTCCACAAAGCCTGTATGAAGTTTTCTCAGGACATCCTTTCATTTTAACACATGGTGTAGGGGTCCCCCCACAGACCCCTGTCCTGCTCTATCTGCTTGTTCAGCTCACCTGAAGGTCAGTCACTCTCCAGCCCTGACCTGCCAGGGACAAGGACAAGGTCCTGCCCCAAACACAGCAGGTGCTGGGTCAGATCCCCACAGAGGTCTTCATCCTCCTCTTCTCTAACTCTGGGGGGGATTCCTGCCTCAGGCTGAGGTACCCAGTGGAGACAGAGCAGCAGAGAAGGGAAATGAGTCCTGATCAGAGAAAACACCCTCAATCAGAGAGCAGGCAGAATGAGGGGTATCCCAGAACCCCAAAACCTATAAGCTTTAAATGGCTTCTGCCATCTGCCGCATAAAAGAGCACACTCTGAGTGTGAAAGACCACAGCAGAGTAGCGTCCACAGAGCAGAAGGGAAGATGGGATCACAGTTTCCCAAAAAAAATCAGTGAAAGTTAATCCCTCCCCCCCTCCAGAGTAGATGACCAGACTTCGTGGGGGGAGAGGCTGCAGCTGCAGGACAAGCTCCACCCTCACCTCAACCCAGCTCAACAGCCAGCTCTACCCACCCCAGGGGGAGGGGAGCCAAGGGGAAATTTGGACTCAAATATGCCTCAGGAGGACTTACCCAGAAACCTCATCTCCCCCAATGCTACCCTTGGGTCCATGTGGGGAGGAGAAAGAGGGAGGGTACAGAGCACAGGGCAGGTATCCCTGGACAACCCTGGGGGACACTGGACACCCTGCAGGAAGGACACTCACCCCACTCTCTGCCTCTCCATCTCTTCAGGGTCTGTTTTTGCTGCTTTGTCAACACACACTGTTCCCTGTTCTGTCTTGTCAGATACAAATTGTCCTGATCCTGGTGGGTTAATCATTTCCTTTCCTCTTTAATGGACATATACCTCTAATTTTTTAAATCGTTTCAAGTGCTTTTGAAATAGTTTCAGGTAAATACCTAAGGTTGCCAAAAGACAGAGGAGAAAGTAAAATGAATTGTGAATTTAAGATACAACTACTGACGGGAAGAAGAAACCCCTTTCTCCCACTTGCTTTCCAGTAAAGTTTGTGTAGGCAAAGTTAAGATGAGGGGTTCACAAGGAAAGCCTCTTTGGAAAACAGTGCTGGGGACTGTGCAAAAGAACGAAACTAGACCACTGTCTCACGCCTCACACACAAATCAACTCAAAATGGATAACAGACTGGGCCACAGGTCAAGAAACTATAAAATTCATGGAAGAAAACAAGGACAGAATGCTCCATGACACACGTCAGAGATATCTGTGTGGCCCCGTCCCCTGCAGCCAGGAGAACAAAAGGGAATGTGAAGCAGGGGCTCCAGCACACTAAAAAGATGGAAGATTTATAGTCAAGTTTTACAGTTTCCTTTAGTTTCATGACAAACCTATATTTCTTTATTCGTGGTGTGAAAGAACTTTAAAAGAACTAATGTGCATATGCACATTAGAGAGAGAAGAAAGATCACTGGAAATAAAACACCCAAAGTTCCCCATCCCCTCGTGGGTGAAGACCCAACCACACAACCCTGGCCCAAAGCAGGCCACTGCGGCCTGAAAGGCCCCCCCACCCCCACCCGGAGTCTAAGGCGCCTTCAGGTGGGGACCTGGGAAGTGGATGAAAGGAGCCAGCAAGTCTGGGCCAAAAGGAGCAAAATTAAAGTGCAAGGCAAGGGAAAGGTCGGTCTCCCCCTGGCTCTCTTCCAGGTGTCTCCTTCCCTGTCTCTACGTTCTTGGTTCAAGGCCAAAGCCAAGAGGCAAGGCAGCTTCTCCACACGTCTCTCTTTTGTGTGTGTCACCCGGGGCTCTCTGTGCTGACAAACCTTTATGTTCTGAGCAAATTGTCCATCAAACAGCCCATCACAGCTGACACTCCTGGTGTCCATCATGATCAGCCCCAGAACTTGCCGTCAGCCTCCCGGGTATCCTGCCCCTGGTACATCAGAGGGTGTCAGTGTCCGGCACTCTTTGGGGCATCAGCAGGGCAGGAATCTCAGGTTAAAACAGGAGCTTTAGTTCAAAGAAAACAGATCAATAGTCATGTAGCGTGTGCGTGCAGCCTGTGTGTGTGCAGATTCCTGTCCTAGGTATGGGCCCTTCCTCCTTTGCCTCCTATCAAAAGGACAGAGGTAGAGGACAGGGCACTGTCTGTGTTTCTCAACCATGTGCTCAGTTGCAACCAGTCAGGCTCAGGGAACAGCAATGAGGTTTCTCTAACAAACAGGAGAGCAGGGAAATAAAGAGTTTCTAAGGCCTCCGCAGCCAACCGTGTCACCCCAGATAGTGTCCACAGTGTCCAACAGTGCCAAATAAAGGCTGCCTGTGTAAAGTGGTACAGTCCCATCAGGGAAGGCCTGGAGCTGGTGGCACAGCCGCAAACACTGGGCCAGGATCCAACTCACAGTGGCAGCAGGAGATGCTCCCAGGGGGTGCTCCCCTCTGAGGAGACACCCTAGCAGGCACAGCCACAGCCTGAATGCCAGGCTGGACAGAAAGGAGGCAACAGCATTGGCAGGTAGTGCCGGACAGACAGCAGCATGACAGGTCTCAAAGGTGACCTTGCTGCTGTAGCCCCAGTGGGCTGCATGCCCTGGGGTGGTGTGGGGGGTACAGAGAGCCTCTGCTACAGTTTGGCTGCAGCCTTTGTCGATGACACTGACGGTAACTGGTGGTAAAGTGTCCACCTACTGTCACCCACTGCTACTCCCGCTGCTGGGTGCAGTGGGTACAGCTGTCAGGGTGGCCTGGACCCTGTCCTCAAGCAGCAGCCTCCTGGAGCCTACCAGGGTGGGTGGGGTCCATTCAAACCCAGCTGGGTCCCCACAGCTATCATCCCTAGCCCACGAGGTGGCCTCAGGAAACTGACCTGTGGCACCCACTGCAGGGCAACCTTGGTGCTACCCAGAAGCAGCTCCTCTGGGGGGGGGCAGGGGATGGGGAGCCTAAGCCCTAGGGGTTCCTTTGCTTAAATCTGGCTTGCTCTGGGAGAGGGGCCCTCTGAAGCCTGTCTGCCACTAGGCAGGAAACCCTCCTCTGCCAACACCTCTAGAGCTATGCCCACCAGCTCCCACCTGCACATGCAGAGTGCCAGAGCAGGAAACCACCACTGCTGCTGCCAGCGCTTTCAGACTCCTGCTCCCACTGGCCTCTGGCTGTGCCCACTGAGGCAGCCACACCAACACACCAACGTGTGTCCCACCACTCAGGGGGCAGGAAAGAGCTGGGCAAGCCACAGGGATCTTGAGTCAGTGTTAAACACTATATTATTATATACAAACATACACACATTCACATGTTATCTATTAATGCCTTTAGTAAATTTTACTTGAAAAATTTGTATTGTAAATTTGTATCAAATGAATGAGAAACCCATCCAGGGATAGTGACAGGCCCTCCAAATTGCTACTTTACAGTCTGAAATGTTGGGTGGCATCATGACCCTTCTTTCTCACAACCCAGATGTCAATTTAGGAAATGCTGTAAAGTCCATTTCTAAATATATCCAGCTCCAATGACTTCCTACTATTTTCTTGATCACACCCCATAAAGCTACCAAGTTTTCCATTCTAGAATCTGTGATAGTTTCCTACATGTATCTTCCCACCTCTCACTATTACCTCTTGATTCTTCACAGCAGCCAGATTGAGGCTTCTAAAGAGAAGTTGCACCATGTCAATCTCTGTCCAGAAAGGTCTGTTAGTCCCACATCTTACTCAGAGAAAAGATTATGAATTCCAAACCATCTTCAGTGACAAACCTAAATATATGGCAATTATTTCCTTTCATAGAAAAGTATAGGTTTTTCACTTTGAAACAGCAAAAGCCCAGTGTATCAGTTTAGTTAAAAATTCACCCCCAAAATATGCTACTTGGCCATAAAGTTTCCCTTTGTAAATACATTTACATTCACCTAATTCTATGCTTATTTCATAATGGTTTTAAATAAAACCCATCAAAATCTTTAGTTAAATAATTCCACATCTGGATTAAATCATGGCAGTATGGATGTTTTTTAGAAATTCCAGCTTAGAGAGAAGAACAAAGACCCCGGGAGACCCACACACAGCCCAGGCTGCCGGTAAGCTTGCGCGGAAAAGCGGCGCGCTTGGCGCGCTTGAAAAGCAAACGTGGATCGGGATCGCTGCTGCCCAGGTCCCCGCGCCAGCGACCTAGGCTTGCGGGGAGACGCGCGGAGGCCCTCACTGAGTGAGCAGGAACCAGGCGCCCAGGCACAGGAGCGGGAGCAAAAGGCACCATTCCCGCGCCACTGAACTGGGCTACAGCCCGCCTCCTGGAACTGAGGGCTTTGAACTGAGACACGGGGCACGAAATTCAGGGCGTGGGTTCTCCACGCGGGTGGGACACAAGGCAGACACAGCACCCCAAAGCCGTTGAGGTTTACCCTACCATTCTCGCTCTGCTCCCTGTCCCACGGGGGGGGGTCGAAAAACAGCCCCCCAAGGACAATAGGAGAGATCTCTGGCGCCACCTAGTGACCAGAAAAAAAGTCACTAACACCCCATAGAACAGGGAAACTTCTTAAGAAAAGACTTGAAAAGGGCAGAAGGCTTCTGGAGGACCCAGTGGCCAGCTGGGAAGTTAGCCCATGCCAGGCCCCTCCCGACCAGCAGTCTGAGCCCACAGAGGGAGCAGGCACCCACGTCTGGGGCAGACCGGGCGCGCAGAAGAGTGTGCCTGAAACCGGAGGCGCAGGGACTGCATCCCGCTTCGCCATTTTAGAACAGGGACATTTCTTCAGTAAAGACTGCCTAAAACCAGCAGAAAGCTCCCCCAGAAGCCAGAGATGGCTCCTAGAGGAGCCAGAGGGGAGCGGAGAAGTTCACCCAAGATGCCGGCCAGTCCGAGCAACACAGTGTCCCAATGCATACGACAAATTAGAAAACAGACAGTAGGGAGTAGAAGAACCACACGCAACCTAACAACTCCTCAGGAAAGAAGCACACCATAAAAAGAAAACCACTCCCCAGATTGCAACGACAGCAACTTGGAAGAACTTCTGAGCCTTCCAGAAAGAGAATTTAAAATTGCCATGATTAAAAAACTGACAGAAGTCATAAAGGAAAACAATGATCAGAAGAAGGAAATTGAGTCCCTAAAGAGGGAAAACAATGGTCAGAAGAATGAAATTGAGTCCCTAAAGAGGGAAGTAAAAGAAATGCAGGAGATCAAAGAATTAATGGAGGAACTAAAGAATTCTGGGAAAAGCAATTAAAGCAGAATAGATGAAATGGAAGAACGAATAAGTACTCTTGAAGACACAGAAATAAAAAGAACCAAAACAGAAAAGGAAAGAGAAGTACGAAGGAAAAAGAATGAAGAAAGACTTCAGGAACTATCTGACTCCATGAGGAAAGGAAATATAAGAGTTATAGGAATTCCAGAAGGAGAGGAGAGAGATGTAGGAACAGAGAAAATATTCCAGGAGATAATTGAAGAGAACTTCCCAAATGCGAAGAAGGAGCTGAAAATTGATATACAAGAAGCAAGAAGAACACCAAACTTCCACGACGAAAGGAAAAATACAGCAAGACACATAATAGTAAAACTCCCAAGAATCCAGGACAAGGAAAAAATAATGAAGCTGACAAGAGGGAAGAAACAGATAACATTCAAAGGAAAACCAATCAGGCTGACATCAGACTTCTCTGAAGAAACACTACGGGCAAGGAGAGAGTGGAGGGACATAGTCAACAGACTCCAAGAAAACAGATGCCAACCAAGAATACTCTATCCCGCAAAGCTCTCCTTCCTCTATGAAGAAAGAATAAGGATCTTCCCAGACAAACAGAAACTCCGGAATTTCATTACGACTAAACCCCCACTCCAAAAAATACTACAAGGAATCCTAAAGCCAGAACCTCAGAGGGACGAATAACAACGAAAGAAGACCAAAAAAAAGTTATTAAAAGAATAAATAAATAAAATCAAAGGAAAGACAAACACAATGGCAAATACAGATGCTAACATATCAATATTAACTCTAAATGTAAATGGACTAAACTCTTCAATAAAAAGACACAGAGTTGCAGCCTGGATTAAGAAACAAAACCCAACCTTTTGCTGTCTCCAGGAAACACATTTAGCTACAAAAGATAAAAATAGGCTCAAAGTTAAAGGATGGAAAACAATCCTACAACAAATGGACCAAAAAAGAAAGCAGGAACAGCTATACTTATATCAGATAAAACAGACTTCAAACTCAAAAAAATAAAAAGAGACCCCAATGGTCACTACATTATGATCAAGGGGACAATACTTCAAGAAGAAATAACACTCATTAACATATACTCACCAAACGAAGGAGCACCAAAATATATCAGACAACTGTTGTCCTCTCTGAAAACAGACATCAGAGAAAACACATACGTAGTGGGAGACTTCAACACACCACTATCAACAATGGATAGATCAACAAGACAAAAAATAAGTAAAGAAACTAAAGCTCTAAATAAGGACCTAGAGCATTTGGGCTTAACAGACATCTATAGAACACTAAACCCAAAAAAACAGAGTACACATTTTTCTCAAGCGCACACGGATCATTCTCCAGGATCGATCACATACTGGGGCACAAGACAAACATCAACAGATACACCAAGATTGAAATCATACCAACCATCTTTTCTGACCACAAAGGCATCAAACTAGAAATAAACCATAAAAAGAAGGCAAGGAACTATCCTACCTCATGGAGACTAAAAACCACACTACTGGAAGACCACTGGACTAACGAGGAGATCAAAGAAGAAATTAAAAAATTCTTTGAATTGAATGACAAGGAGGACACCAATATCCTAAATGTATGGGATGCAGCAAAAGCAGTAATAAGATGAAAATATATAGCAATAGAAGCTCACATCAAAAAACAAGAAAGAACTCAAAGAAACAACCTAATCTCGAAGCTCAAAGATCTAGAAAAAGAACAACAAAAACCCCAAAACCAGTAGAAGAAAAGAAATAATAAAAACCAAAGCAGAAATAAATGAAATTGAAACTAAAAAAACAATCCAAAAGATCAATGAAACCAAGAGCTGGTTCTTTGAAAAAATAAATAAAATAGACAAACCCCTGGCCAGGCTCACAAAGGAAAAAAGGGAGAAAGCACAAATAAACAGGATTATCAATGAACGAGGAGAAATCACAACGGACACAGCAGAAATCAAAAGAATTATTAATAACTACTATGAACAGTTATATGGAAACAAGTTCAACAATCTAGAGGAGATGGACAAATTCCTACAACTCTACAATCACCCAAAGCTAGATAAAGAAGAAATAGAACACCTAAACAGACCAATTACAAGCAGTGAAATTGAAATGGTAATCAAAAACCTCCCCAAAAACAAAAGCCCAGGACCTGATGGATTTACAAATGAATTCTACCAAACATTCAGAGACGAATTAGTGCCTATCCTTCACAAACTCTTCCAAAAAAATGGGAAGGAAGGGACAATACCAAACACATTCTATGAAGCCAACATTACACTAATACCAAAACCGAATAAGGACAACACAAAAAAGGAAAACTACAGGCCAATCTCCCTAATGAACACTGATGCAAAAATCCTCAATAAAATTTTAGCTATCAGAATCCAACAATGTATCCATAAGATAATTCACCACAACCAAGTTGATTCATTCCAGGGACACAAGGATGGTTTAACATCCGAAAATCAATCAACGTTATCCAACACATCAACAAAAAGAAATATAAAAACCATATGATAATATCAATAGATGCTGAGAAAGCTTTCGACAAAGTGCAACACCCATTCATGATAAAAGCCCTTGAAATTCTTGGGATACAAGGAACATACCTCAACATCATAAAGGCCATCTATGACAAGCCAACAGCCAGTATCATTCTCAATGGTGAAAAGCTGAAGCAATTCCATTAAGATCTGGAACAAGACAAGGATGTCCACTCTCACCACTGCTTTTCAATATAATACTGGAAGTCCTAGCCAGAGCAATAAGACAAGAGAAAGACATACAAGGAATCCAAATAGGAAAAGAAGAAGTCAAACTATCACTATTTGCAGATGATATGATAATATACATAGAGAACCCCAAAAAGTCCACAGAAAAACTAATTCAACTCATCAATCAGTTCAGTAAAGTGGCAGGATACAAAATCAACACGCAAAAGTCAGTAGCCTTCCTATACACAAACAATAAATCTGAAGAAGAAATCAAAAAAACCATCCCTTTTTTATTGAAACAAAAAAAATCAAATATTTGGGAATAAATCTAACAAAAGAGGTAAAGGACCTATACAAAGAAAACTATAAAACACTGTTAAAAGAAATAGAAGAAGACACAAAGAAATGGAAAGACATCCCCTGCTCATGGATTGGAAGAATAAACATTATTAAAATGGCCATCCTACCAAAAGGAATATACAGATTTAATGCTATTCCAAGCAAAATTGCAATGTCATTCTTCAAAGAAATAGAACAATTATTGATGAAATTCATATGGAATCACAAAAAACCCCGAATAGCCAAAGCTCTCCTGAAAAAGAAAGAAAGGAATGGAGGCATTACACTCCCAGACTTCAAACTATACTATAAAGCCATAATCATCAAAACTGCATGGTATTGGAACAAGAACAGACATACAGACCAATG